TAGTGTCTGGAAGTGCACGCCCTTGAGCTTGGCGACCCAGTACCGAGAAAAGGTAGACCTGTCACTGAGACCAGGTGACTTGGGGACAGATGTCCTGATGCTCTGGGAGGCTTGCTGGCTTTCGTGGGGGCTGAGGAGCATGGTGGGGCCAGAGCCCACCCACCTGAACTGTTTAGATCGCCAGATCCCAGCGTGGCAGGTATTGGTAACCTCACTTTGTAGGTGAAGACACCTGGGCCCAGACAGACTAGTGACTTGTCTAGTCACAGAATCCTAAGTGGCACACGGGGCTTGGAGCCCAGGTCGGCCAGGTGCCAGAGCCGATTGTTTGTCTCGCAGTCATGCTGGAGGGGTCTCCATTCAGGGGTCACACCCCCACCTTTCTACACTGCTTCTTGGCAGCCCCAGAATCTAATGTATGCTGGAGGACTTTGGGGTGTAGCCTCGGGAACAGCTTGGGTGAGGGGTGAGGGGCACAGCTGGAGCTGCGAGGCGGGGTGTGGCGGGAGCCTCCGCCGATGCCCCCAGGAGCTCTGGGGTCACAGAGACCCCTCAGGGTCACTCAAGTTGAGGCAGGGGTGTCGTGGCTCAGCCACTGGAAGCCTTAGGGAAGGGTCGCGACCTTGGGACAGGCAGGTCCCTTCCGCTGGGGGAAATTCCTGAGGAGGGACCCAGCTGTGAACTGTCAGCGGCACCAATGCGGAAGCTCCCGAGGGTGGGGCCAGGTGCGCTGCGGCCCGTACCCCGCTCCCTCCGCCCACCCTCGGCGCCACCTCCGTGTGCCACCGGCTTTGCGTGATGGGCTGAAGAGCCCCCTGGGATTCAGGCTGGTTTCTTTCCCGGGGAGCCTTACAAGGGAAGCTGGTGGGCTGAAGGGCGGCCGGATTAGGGGCGCAGCTAGACGGCATCGTTGCCCCGCTCCAGCACCCCTCTAAGCCCCCCTTGCCTTCGCTGGCACCTCTGCTCGTCTAGGTGGTTGGCGTGGTGTCTCAGTCCCTCTAACCTGGGGGGTCCGGGCTCCTGGGCTCCGGGCCCTTTTCAATGTAAGGCTGATGCCCTTAACCAGTTACCATCAAAACTGGGCGGGGGTTCCCCAGGGGAGCGACAGGGACCCCGGGGCCAAAGCCTCCCCACCTGCCTTGGTGGTCCGGGTCAATTCCCCATCAGGATGGTGGCTCCTTGGCACAAGGTGCCCAGACAGACCCGATGGCAGGCGTGGCTCACTTCTGCAGGAGCCTCTTGCTGTGTCTCCTGCTGGGACTGTTCCCGCTCTGGGCACACGACCTCTGGCCCACAGAACGCAGAGCCGCGGGGACAGGAAACCCCACTGGGAAGGACAGCCACGGCCAGGCCCATCTTTCGGGTCCCAGACCCACGGTAGTCTCCCCTCTGGGGACGCAGCACCACGTCGTGGTGACAGATTTCGGGAACTGCGTCATGGAGGGAGCCCGCGGGCCGCTCCTCATGGGTCACCGCTGCACCTGGGCTTGGCCTTCCGCCACTCTGTCAGGCCGGTGGTTTCTGGGTGACGCAGCCGACGCCAGGCCCGGCGGATCTCACCGTCCTGTGCCGCGTGGCGCCCTCTTTGCTGTGAAGTGGGTCCCTTTGTCCGCTGCGTTGGCATGCGTTGTGCCTTCTCGGTGGATCGACTGCTCTGTGAGCCCTGGGGACTGGCCTGGCGGCAAGGCGAGGCGGCCTCACGTCAGGATGAGATTAATCGCTTCGCCTTCTGGGCTACAGGGGCTCAAATGCAGTCGACTTGTCTCGAAGAGCTGACGGTCGCCTTGAGGGGTGCGCTGGGTCCCAGGCTCAGTGCCGATGCTGTGAAGCTGGCGGTCCAGGGGCGGAGGCAGCTGGGGCAGCCTTGGCGGGGGAGCACCTGCGCTCCAGGGCCCACCACGGCTAGTCCATTCATGTACCCATTGTGCCACCAGCGAGGAGACCGGTGCCAGACGCTGACCTGTGTCCGCTGTCAAAGCCATTCTCTCTGTCACAGGCCCCTCCCGCGGTGGGTGCTCCATAGCGTGCGTTAACAACTGATACAAACAAAGACCTTACCCCATAGACGTACCCGCTCCAGACCGCCTCACGCCCGGCCTCTCGTCTTCAAACCTCTCCATCCAGGCTCCCGACCAATCAGGGAAGCCATCGGCGCTGCCCACGGGTCAGCAGACCTTCTTACATTAGGCCACTCCGCTTTGCATACCAATTGGATGATTCATCACATGCTCGGCCAAAAGCCATTGGGAGGATTGTCCTAAACTGTCATCTTTCAGGGCCACCCCCAAATGGGGTCTAGTCAAGCAGATCCCATTTTCGGCTGGCACCCAACGCCCCCCATACCAAGCTAACCCATCTCTGAGTCATCCGGCCATTGTTCTGTCTGACATCTTCATAAGGGTCCCTCACGCAGCCGTAGCCGTGAGCTCAGAGAGATGCTGGCACCAGAGTCCGGATGACAGGAATTTGGGTCATGGCTTTCTGTGCCCTCCGGGCCCGATCGTACCTAGTCCTGGGTGTAACTTAGTTACATCCTAAAGGTTCCAGCTCCAGGCGGGCCTGGCAGCGTGCCAGAAGCTCGTGGTCCAATGAATTGTATTTACTCGTTGCAGGTGGCTTGCCCTTGCTCCAGAATGCTAGGGGTCTGAGTTATCATTTTCCCGCTGGGCCTTGCTAGAAACTCCACGTGACACCTTTCCCCGTAACGGACATCTCCATTGCCGTGGGGTCAGCCAATGCGATGGCCCAAGTGGCAGGCTGCCCGCTGCAGAGCTCTTTCTGCTCAAGACCCTCTCAAAGCTGGCAGCGTTTCTTGTGACCCAGGATATGGATTGGACCAATATTCCCGGATGTGGAATGAGCTGTGTCCAGACTTTTTCATGATAGATGGGGTGTGGTACGATAATTCGCCCTTGACTTTCAAGGAGACATCCTGGCATGACCTAAAGTCCTGGACCCCGAAATCCTCACTGACGAGGGGGCCGCCGAATCTTCACGGGGGTTAATCCGATCCCCGAGCACAGGTTTTGCCAGGGCCTCCCGTGCCACCTCCCGCTCGTCGGTCTGGTGTACGCGACGTCATCCATACAGATGACGGGGTTCTGGAGACTGGCCCAGACCGCTCGGTACTGTGACGTGACGGGGAGCTGGAGGGTTAGCACAGCCCCGGGCCGTCGTCTGCCCGTGTGAAAGACTGTCCCTGTCCCCCTTCCCCACGGGGGCGGAAAGAGAGTCCTCGCCGGGTCGGTGGCCACGTGGGATCAGCTCAAGGCCACGTTAAGCTGCTCTCGAAAACCTGCTGCTTGGTCGCGTTTCTAATCGTTCGCTTCTTCCTCCTGGATCTGTCTCGTTTTCACAGGGGCCAAACTGTTCAAGTAAACGAAGGCCGTGATGGGGTCACCGCCCCTGCACCCTAATCTCCGTGCTTTCCCCCCACTCTTGGATGGGGCGGGGGTCAGGTTCATAGGCTCCCGCCTGGCTTTTCCCCATTGCGATGGCTCTTACACCCCCAGGTCAAGGAGCCAACGCGAGGGTTCTGCCAATAACCAGTTATGCACTTGGGGACTGGGGGAGCCTTGGATCCAGTGGACACGCTGTGAGCCAGACCCGGGCCACTACTTGTCACCCACATGCTCTCACAGTGGCAGGGGACAGTGATGATGCTTTGGGGCCCCGGTTAACGATGACAACTTGGACCCTGGTTCCAGAATGTCTGCCCATTTGTCCACTGAATAGTTAACCAAGTACATAGCTATGGGTTCTTTGGGGAGGAGCTGGGGAAATCGTGACTATGGACACTTGCCGTGAATGCTGGTTTCCGGGGACCTGGGTGTCCCGTCATTCAGTGGGTTCTGAGTCTGCAAACTGGCCCAGGATATAGGGCAGAGGTTGTGATTTTACGGGCAGTCGCTGTCATCCGATTGTAGATCAGGAAGTGCTTTCTCTGGGTCCATCGGTCTGTCCTCTGAGGGTCCTTTGTCCTGTCGGCTGTGTCCAAAGGCCTCTGTGGGCCAGGCCCCTGCCGCCCCGGCTCCCACGTCAGGCTCGCTGCTCCTCACCAGGCTCGGGCCGCTTTTCCGGTTATCGTGGGAATCGCTCGCGTAGTAGCATCTCCCGCCCTCGGCCCCGACCTACGAGGACACCCAGCCCTGTCCCCCTGCGCGACGTGGGTGCCTCCTCACCGGCACCCTTGCTTTCACTCTGGTCCGGTGAACGGA